CCCTATAAACTTAAGACGTTGAGTGATGACACACAGTCCCCAGTGTCCTTCTCCACAGGGAAAGACCGACCTTACCCAGGTTTGCTCTTGGGGATCACCTTCCATCCCTCTCTTTCTGACCCCCTGCTTTCTGCTTCACCTCACTCTGCAGAGCCTTCGCTTGTTACAGGCTCTTGTCCCCAGTTCCAGGAGAGCAGTGTTGGACACTCTCCATTTCACAAAGGCCTCTCTTTAACAGCCTCTTTCATTCATTCATTCATTCATTCAATGAGCTCACATATATCAAATACTGGACACCAGGGATCAAAAGTCAGACAAGCACATGCCCTTGAAGACCTCCCAGCCCTGAGAGTGCCCCAGCTTCTCTTTCTTAATCACAGACTCACCTTTGCAAGCTCTCCTTCCTCCCAAGCAACACTAAGGCGACTGCCTCATTCTCAGCCATAACAGCAAGGGAGCTGGTGTCAGACAGCTGGGGTTAGGATCCTGGCTCAGCCACTGTCTTATGACATAACCACGGGCAAACTTCCTCCGCTCTCTGCCTCACCCACCCCACCTTTAGAATGAGGACAGTGATGCCTGCCAACTAGACCTGTCAGAATGAAATGAAAACCTAATAAGCCTGCAAGCAATAAGAATCTTAAAAAAGAGTGGATACATGTATATATATATAAAACTGACTCGCTTTGCTATACACCTGAAACTAACACAACATTATAAATCAACTATACGCCAATAAAAGTTATATACAAAATAAAAGTATAAGTCTGAGAGTGAGGCAAAGACAATAAAAACATTTTTCTAAATGTTACTCTTGGAAAAGGTCCTAGAGTACTTGTATCCAAAATGCCTACAAACTATTATGCAATAAAATCATGTATTTATGTGTTAGTTGCTCAGTTGTGTCTAACCCTTTGCAACTCCAAGGGCTACATGTAGCCCGCCAGGCTCCTCTGTCCATGGAATTCCCCAGGCAAGAATTCTGGAGTGGGTAGCCATTCCCTTCTCCAGGGCATTTTCTCGACCCAGAGATCGAATCCAGGTCTCCTGTATTGCAGGTGGATTCTTTACGTCTGAGCGATCAGGGAAGCCCAAAATCTTGCATATGATCCCCCCCCCCAAAAAAACCTAAAGAAGTCTTTAGAATAGTGCCTGGCACATAGTAATAAATGCTCACTCTACCATTTTACAGCTTACAAAAAGATCTAGCTTTTAGAGGGAACGGCTGTCTGGCCATTAACACAATGAAGGGCTAAAGCTAACAACTGAAGTACGATGTTCTGAACTGTTGCTATGTCACAGCAAGTCTCTCCTTTTTTAGGCGTCTGCCAGCCAGCTGAAACCTCTGCTTCCAGGGAAAATGTAAAGAATCTTGAGCAGGGACCACAAGCTCTATCTGTAATCCAGGCTCGAAGAAGGCTCTAGCACAGTGCAGGGGGTCAGAGAGGCTCAGGAGGCTGCCCTGGGCAGGGTGGGAAGAGCCTCAGAGGTGGACCCCAGAGACCCCAGCAAGGAGGCCCGAGGCACAGCATCCCAGGGAACTGCAGGTTCTGGAACCACAGACAGCCGATCAGAGGGCGGCACAGAGCCAGGGAACTCCTGAGCACTGGCAACAGTCCAGATCTGAGACAGTGACCTGGTAGTTCTGGGTGATCCATCCACTCTCAGGGGAAGAGAGCTGGGCAGGATTCCCCCAGCACCTGAATTTTTTTTTTCCTTATTTGTTTTTAATTGGAGGATAATTGCTTTACAATGGTGTGTTGGTTTCCACTATACAACAACATGAATCAGCTATAAGTAAACATATAGCCCCTCCCTCTTGAACCTCCCTCCCACCCCGCCCAAGCACATGAATTTGGGTTGAGAACAGTCCTAGTAGAAAGCAAGAGCTAACCCCCTGAGCTAATAAGACAGGTGAGCAGGAGAAGATACACAAAGAGAGAAAAGGGGAAGGGTAAGACTCAGAGACCCCAGCCCAGGGCTCAGTCCTGGCCTCTCAGAAGCCAAATCTACTGGCAACCAATATTTGATTCCAATCCCTCTCATGGTGGGGAGGCAGCACCTTAAATGCTACTTCCTTTCCCAGCAGACGAGTTGCCCCAGTCGTGGGCACCCGTGCAGAGCAATATCAGGAATATGATGCAGCAGAGCCCAAAGGCAAACCCAAGACCAACATGTCCTAGGAGGCCAGCATTCCCAGTCCGTCCAGAATGGAAGAGACTGTGTGTGGGTTTCACTTTGCACGCTCAGCACTTTAAATGAACGACGCCCACAGAAGGGCTACCAGGGATGTGGGTGAACCACGGGGCTTCTATTTAAGGTGAAATCTTTCCCTGAAAGGGGGTTCCCAGGCGGCTCATCAGTTAAGAATCTGCCTGCCAAGGCCAGAAGACACAGTTTTGATGCCTGGGTTAAGAAGATCATCTGGAGGAGGAAATGGCAACCCACTCCAGTATTCTTGCCTGGGAAGTCCCATGGACAGAGGAGTCTGGCAGGTTAGAGTCCGTGGAGTTGCAAAAGAGTCGGACACAACTGAGTGAGCAACAACAATAACTTTCCGGGAGAAGGCAGCTGGTGGCAGTGACCTGAGTAGGTTGTCCGTACCTAGAGCATTTTCTCTCAGCCATCAGATCCACAGGACACATGCCAAAGGTCTCTAGCGGGTGAGCCCCCGGATTTTTTGTACTTTCACATCTTACGGCACAGAGCCCTCCCTTAACACTCAGCCTCTCCTCTTCCCAAGTCTCTGAACGAGAGCCAGCTCTCAGCCACACACCCACCCCCGACCCCCACGCGGCCATGACCCACGACCAGGTCCGGAGGCCATGCCAGGCTCTGGGGCCCCATCCCATCCAGGGCAGCAGGAAGGAAAGAGCCAAGAGCACTCACAGGGCCAGAAAAATAAAGAGCCAAGATCCCCAGTCAGGAGCAGGGCAACTTTTTCCCAGACTAGTGATGACTCGAGGGATTCCAGGCACAGCGCTAAAGAGCCTCGGGCGCCGTCTCGGTGCCTGACCCCACGGAACCCTGAGCCAGGCACCCAGTTCCGCTGCTTGCTTGCCAAAGGCAGTCCCAGTGTGAGCCTCCATTTCCCATCTGTGGCAAACTGGGTGGCCCCCAAAGTCACCTCCCACCCAGGATCCAAACAGGTTCAACCTTTGTCCAGTTCCGGGAACCAGGTCACATTCTCTGCCGGGGCGGGGCCCCAGACTGGAAGAGCAGGAGTGGCCACGAGACTCAGTCCTGCCGAGAGGGAAGAGGAAGCACTGTCCAGAGTCGGCATCCAGCCCTGCCAGCCTCTGCTGGACTTCTGAAAGGGTTAAACTCCTGCATCCTTCCTCTTTTTTAATTGTAATTTAACTTAATTTAATAAAATTGTTTTTAATCTTTTGGCTGTACTGCACGGCGTGCTAGATCTTAGTTCCCTGACCCGGGATCGAACCCGCACACCCCCTTGCATTGGTAGCTTGGAGTTTTAACCACTGGACCACAACTCAGTGCTCTGTGGTGACCTAAACGGGAAGAAAATCCAAGAAAGAGGGGACATATGCGCGTGTGGCTGATTCACTTTGCTGTACAAGAGAAACCGAGAAAACACTGTAAAGCAGCTACACTCTAACAGAAATTAATTTTTAAAAAAGAGCACATAAGCTCTCTGAAGCTCAACCTTCTCATCTATAAAACAGATGACAATACATACTTCACTGTTGTGACAGACTCAGTTCATACAGGCTCACCAGAGTCAACTGTTACATTTCTGGAAATCTGCAAGCCAGCTGTAATGATAGCCATCATTAAATACTAAACTATATAGAGTTATAAATAAATAAAATATATTGAAATTTTTAAAAATTACTGATGGTGAGAAAAGACATCAGATCCCCAAGGGGTAGGAGAGATGAGCTTCCTTTTCTACAATGTGGGGTGGCTTCTTGTGCATGTATGTGCGTGTTGTGTGTGTGCGTGTTGTGTGTATGTGTGCTGTCTGTGCTGTGGGTATTGTATGTGTATGTTGTGTGTTGTGTTATATGTGTATGTTGTGTGTGTTTATTTATGTGTTGTGTGTATTACATGTGTATGTTGTGTATTGTGTGTATTGAGTGTGTTATGTGTTGTGTGTGTTGTGTGTTGTGTGTGTTGTGTGTATTACATGTGTATGTTGTATATTGTGTGTATTGAGTGTGTTATGTGTTGTGTGTTGTGTGTGTTGTTGTGTTGTGTGTGTGTTGTGTGTATTACATGTGTATGTTGTGTATTGTGTGTATTGAGTGTGTTATGTGTTGTGTGTTGCGTGTATTGTGTTATATGTGTATGTTGTGTTGTGTGTGTGTTGTGTGTATTGTGTGTTACATGTGTGTGTTGTGTGTTGTGTGTGTATGTTGTGTGTGTTGTGTGTATGTTGTGTTGTGTGTGTGTGTTGTGTGTATTGTGGTGTGTGTATTGTGTCTGTTATATGTGTGTGTTGTGTGTTGTAGTGTATGTTGTGTGCTGCGTGTTGTGTGTATTGTTTGTGTTGTGTGTGTTGTGTCTATTGTGTTATATGTGTATGTTGTGTGTTGTGTGTTACATGTGTTGTGTGTGTTGTGTGTGTTGTGTGTGTTGTGTTGCATGTGTTGTGTGTACATGTGTGTTGTGTGCATGTTGTGTGTTGTGTGTTATGTGTGTGTTGTGTGTACTGTGTGTTGCATGTGTGTTGTGTGTGTTGTGTTTGTATGTTGTGTGTATATTGTGTGTGTTGTGGTGGTGTGTATTGTGTGTGTTATATGTGTATGTCGTGTGTGTGTGTTATATGTGTATGTCATGTGTGTGAGTGTGTGTGTTATATGTGTATGTCGTGTGTGTGTGTTATATGTGTATGTCGTGTGTGTGTGTGTGTGTGTGTGTGTGTTGTGGGATTCTTCCCCTCACTTCCGACCAGGAGGTTGTACTGCCCAAGAGGGAGGACCCCCCTGCAAGTGATGACCGGGCAGCTGCCTATACCCTCCCACACCACCGCTCACCTGGGGGTTGTCCATGTACCAGAGCAGGTAGTTGGCCTGCGTGTCCAGAATAAAGTACCTCCGCAGAAACTTGCCGCTGTTCTCATTCTCCTCGATGTCCAGAAACCCACAGATTCGGTTCTGCCGATCCACATAAGGCATTCCTGGGCTCTGCTCACATCACCCTGCGTGGCGGGAGGGAGGGAGGGAGGGAGAGGCCGTGAGAAGGAGGGCGAAGCGGTGCCTCACTCTGGCTGACTCACCTCTGCCAGCAGGGAGGCCAGCACCCCCTCCCACAGGCATCCTTCCCCAGGGCCCCGGACATCCCACCCCAACCAGACTCAGGAAATGTCCATCAACTCCGTTCCACAAATGGTCACCAAAATCCACTAACGTGTATTCAACTAATTTCCTGAGGCTCCACTACGTGCCAGGCAGGGTGCGAAGCATCTTCACACTCCCGGAGAATGTAAGCCCAGACTCTGGGTCAGGGGCCTAGGTTCTATTCCCAGTTCTGGCCCCTTCCTGACTGTGTGGCCACAAACTGTTTTAACCTTTGCAGGCCTCACTTTCTGCCTCTGTAAAACAGGGATAATAATGGGACCTACACCTCCTAAGGTTTTGGTGAGAATTAAATGCTTTGGCCAAAGAATTGATGCTTTTGGACTGTGGTGTTGGAGAAGACTCTTGAGAGTCCCTTGGACAGCAAGGAGATCAAACCAGTCCATCCTAAAGGAAATCAGTCCTGAATAGTCATTGGAAGGACTGATGCTGAAGCTCCAATAGATCAGCCACCTGATGCAAAGAACTGACTCATTGGAAAACACCCTGATGCTGGGAAAGGTTGAAGGCAGGAGAAGAAGGGGATGACAGAGGATGAGATGGTTGGATGGCATCACTGACTTATGGGCATGAGTTTGAACAAGCTCCAGGAGTTGGTGATGGACAGGGAGGTCTGGCATGCTGCAGCCCGTGGGGTCGCAAAGATTCGGACACAACTAAGCGACTGAACTGAACTGAAATGCTTGGCAGACATGGAGCATCGATAAACACTAGACATTATTATCACTTTTCAGAAAAGCCTTGTAAAGTAGGTCATAACCCAATTTTATATGTAAAGAAAATATCACAGAAAGGACTTAGTGCTCAGTCGCTTCAGTCCAACTCTTTCCAACCCTGTGGACTGTAGCCCGCCAGGCTGCTCTGTCCGTGGGATTCTCCAAGCAAGAAAACTGGAGTGGGTTGCCATGCCCTTCTCCAGGGGATCTTCCCGACCCAGGGATCAAACCCATGTCTCCGGCATCTCCTGCAATGCAGATGGATTCTTTACCGTGGAGCCACCAGGGAAGTCCAGAAAGGACTTAAGCTCCAGTACAAATACTTGGATAAACTCTGCTGGGAATTCAGGTGCAAAGAGCAGCGAAGAGCAGACCCCAGAGCCCTCAGCCCCGGCCTCACTTCCTTCACTTCACTATCTTCCAGAAGCCACTTGTCATCAGAAGGGTGAGGGAGCAAAAGACACCCATCTGCAGACACCGCCCCTGATTGCAGAACAGGCTCCAGCGATTTGAGACAAGCCGCATCCTGGGCATCTCCAATCCTGGCTTCCTCCTGTCTGATTAGCCGAAATAAAAGCGCCGTTCTCTTCCCCAAGAGGATAAACGCCCTCCAACAGGCAGGCACACCCCACCTGGGTGCACAGCACACTGCAGAAGTGGGATCCGAAGCCCAGGGATTAGAAAACCCCACAAGACAGTCAGACCCTTGGGGACAGACACCACCCACCCCGGGTCCCGCCTGAATAGACCCAGAGAACAGATGTGGACACAGTGGGGGAAGGAGAGGGTGGAATGAATTGAGAAAGTGGCATTGGCTCCAACAAAGAGAAATTCACCGTGACCCAAGCCCGCCATGGCCCCGAGCCTCTGACTAAGCTCGGCGGAGAGGCAGCTGGCTTCGGGCCATGCCCTGCTGACCCTGGGTCAGCCTGTGAGCCTAGATGCCACACCCGCAGGCCTCCGGGCCAAGAGGAAAGTCTCACAGGCAAAGACACGCGTTCCCACAAGATGAGGCGGATTCTAAGGACGTTGACGATAGCGTGATGGACTCTCTAAGGGGCCTTGTGGAGCTGAGAGGCTGCTCCAAGGAAAAAAATACTCCGCTCACACACCAAGATGCCAGGGAAGAGCGAATCCCGGATTCTAGGTAAGGTCAGGCAGAAATTGGGACGTGGGGCAGGCGATTCAGGCAGGAAGCAGACAGGTCAGGGATCTGGTGGTAACTCATTAAGTAATGACGGGGGGGCAAAAAATGTAGTGGGCAGGGAAACGGGACAGAGATGAAACAGCACAGCTAGAAAAAGAGAGTAAAAGAAGAGGTAAAAAAGGGAGAGAAAAGTGGAAAAAGGAGGTTTTTCCAAGATGGCGCAGTGGCAGAGGGACGCCAAGCGTGGGGGCGGGGGAGACACCCCCCTTCCCCACACACAGTGCATCATGTGGCCTGAGGTCCCTGTGGGCAGCTTCCCAAACTAAGCCTCCACCCCAGCTTTAGTCTCACAACCGGCCCAGCAGTGAGTTCAGGAAAGAGAGATGAGATGGGCTTTTTAAGCCAAGGGTTAGGAACGAACGCCACGGGAGCGATTTCAAGTCTCGCAGATACCGGGTCAAAGACGAGGGGGAGAGAGGTCAGAGGCTGGTTGGGGAGGAAGTGGATGGATCCCTGAGAAAGGATGGGGCTTCCCCCAGGGAATCAGGGGAACTCAGGAGTCCCAGGCAGAAAGGCTAGGTCAGCCCTGCAGTGAGTGTACAACCATCCCCCAGGAAAGCTCAGCAAACTCCCACGATGCCAGCCCGGCCACAACGACAGACGTTCCGGGGCCTCCTGGGCTGGCACCACTCCTGGGACATCTCTAAGAAGAAGGGTATAAACTGCAGCGGATAACACAGTCGACCATTTCCGGGTGCAGCCAATAAGCCAGTAATACTGGCATCTGTCCTCACGCTTCCTTTCCAATATCCCCTCTTTAGCCCAAGGGGATTAATCAGTGTCTTTTACCCAAGTCAGAGGCCAGAGAAGGCACTCTTTCCACCATCAACATTTGTGAACAGGGGGCTGCCCATTTGCATGGATCCAAGGGTGGTCTTTCCCAGTGGCTCAGTTGGTAAAGAATCTGCCTGCAATGCAGGAGACCCAGGTTCGATTCTTAGGTTGGGAAGATCCTCTGGAGAAGGACATGGCAACCCACTCCAGTATTCTTGCCTGGAAAATCCCCATGGATAGAGGACTCTGGCAGGCTACAGTCTGTGGGGTGGCAGAGTCCAGCATCACTGAGCGACTTTCACTTTTTTCAACGGAGGAAGAGGACTCACAGGGACCAAAAGACAAGTTAATAAAAGGAAGAATTTTGGTTACATATCTCCTGAGTGTGGTTCTAGCCTGGTGCGGGGGGTGGGGGAGAAGCTGCTCAGATGTCCTGAGAAGCAGCTGAGTCACACAGCTCATCATCCTGTGGGAGGTGGGAGGGGTGGGGGCACGCAGAATGCGAGGCAGGAGAACCAAGCATCACATAGAAATGTGGTTAGATCCACCCACGCAGAAGCGACACACAAACCTGAGGTCCTGAGCCCGGTCCTCTGACAGCGCATCCTCGTCCCAGCAGCTGCTAAGATTTGGTACAGGGTGCCGGCAGCCCCCAGCTCCAAATTCCCTCTCCCTACCTCTTCAGCCTGCCTCCATCATCAACCAAGTCTCCGGGGACTGCTCCCCTTTTTCCCACAGAGGCCCCTCAAAGACAATTCACTCCGCCCCCAGTCCCCCATGCCCCAACCATCTGGCCTGGAGGGGAGAAAGAGCCCCCAGCCCATAAAGGGGGCAGGACTTGATGAAACATGCACATACTGTCACCCCTTCGAAACATCCTTTCCAGCTCTCATGATACTCCTCAGGTGTAACAGTATAGCCTGTCCTGTAAACTCTTCGTTTTAACCAAGTTCCCCGAAGTAAAAATACTGGGTAAACCGTGACACTGGGGGCTGAGTCCCAGGAACTGCCCCCCCCCACACCATATCCCGGGACCCTCACCCAGACAGTGACTCTGGTCCCATCTCTTGGGACAACACGGCAAGTGTTCTTGTTGTCGGGTCAGACCACCAGACAGCATTCTCTCAGGCCAGCCCCTCCACCTTCAATACCAAGGCCACCTAGCAAGGAGTTCAACACACAGAGGGCAGATTATTTGCAGGAAGGGACCTTGGTCCACCCCATTCAGCACCCTCTCTTTCCAAAGCATGCCAACCTCCCTAGCATTTTTTCATTTTTAGTGCAAAACTCACAATATAACAATGCTGGCATTAAAAAAAAAAAAAATCACTCCAGCCAATCATTTACAGTTTTGCATGCTTTTTCATGCCCCTGTCCACATAATCAACCTTCTTAAAACTTTCAATTATATCATAAACATGTTCCATGTTCCTGCCCAGTCTTTATAATCAGTGTTTTTAATGGCTGCATAACATCACTGGACTGGACTTACTATAATTTACTTAAACCATGTCTCCATGATTAGACAGTTAGATGATATCCAATTTTTCTAATGCTAAAATTCATGTTTTTATACTTTGTTTCTTCTTTTGCATACAGATACCACATAAATTCCAAGTCATAATAAGACTAGATCATAGGTTATGATCTTTTATAACTCTTGAGACCCATTACAAAATTGCTTTCTAAAATTATTTCATCTGTTTACACTGCAGCCAGCAACATATTGTTACATTGCTATAATCCTACATACACTGAATGTTCTTATTATTTTCAACTGTGGCTAGTTTAAATATATAATGACGCCCAGGGAGGCAGAACATTTTCTCATGTTCACTTCCTGCTTCATCTTCCTTCCTAGACTTTGCTTAATGCAAATCAAAATTATGTGTGCACACATCAATTTCTCTTCCTCTCTCTCCCTTCCACATAGACACACACACACGTCAAACAAAACCAAAACATGGCTTCACATAATCCAAATAAGAAAATAGTGGTTCATAAAGAAAAGTAAAAGAGGCAAGTTTTACATGATCTAGATGTCTTGTAAGTTCCTAAGTATATGCTGTAGGTGAAAATATGTTAAATATTTAATTCATGATAAAAGTGAAACTTTTAGAAAG